TTTGCAATCAGATAGAAAACGAATGCGCATTCTCGTCGCAGCAATCTTGCAATTTAGTGTTACGAGTCCGCCAAGAATTCGAATAGTCTTGATCGGGCGTCTTCGTCTAAGATTTATACTATTTTTACCCAAGGACACTGTTATCATAATTGTCTTAGCGAGGGATGAGAATTGCTCGTCACTGCATTGTGAAGCACATACGTTGTTCATACAGTAAATGATACAACCATCTACCTTACTGTGATATCTGCTTTCGAAAGAACTAATACGCTTGGATAAAAATAAGATGGTCCGCAGTCTCATGCGTATACTACGGTTGGGTAATAAGAAGGATACGGGGTTGATGAAAGGCGACGAAACAGCGGACCAAGTAACTTTTATCTACAAGAGAACAGACATTGATGCACAACATTTTGATGGTAGCATCATGATAGACATAATCAATGCGTTGGCTTAATACATTAGTTCAGCGGCCCTCTATCCCTCTGAGACTGTCCTGTTTTAAATGACTAGCTATGGTGAATGACTGGGCTTGTGATTCATCAAAATAACTTGTGACTTATCTCGGTCGACCTGAAAGTATGATAGAAAGTAGAAGTTACGATTAAACTGCATAATAATCTGCCTCGACGGGGAATCGAACCCCGGGCATATATGTGTTCTGCACTAGGGAAGGTTGGGGTAAATTGGCAATAGTTTGATGGTGTTGATGTATGCTTTTATTTTTCACACACCCGGATTAAGTGATGCACAGCGAAGCCTCTGTTAGTGTATTGTGGTGAATCCCACACATTTAGCGATCAACAGCGTGACGCGAGGTTCACCACATGTATAGGTGCCACAGCGTTGTTGATGTCACCCGGCAGTGGGGGCTGGTAAGGAATTTAAAGTCACTGACTTATATTTGTTAAGTTCTGGCCTGTGTTTAGAATGAATACGGTCGTTCATTAATAGGAATTCGTCTAGAAGAACTGCGTTGGCAAATTTGAATGGATAGCACGCTGCAGCAATAGACACTTCATCAACCGGCATTGAGAGAATGTATTCGTGTTTGCGAAGTTCGTGGGTATGGTAGCAGGAGTCGGTACATGATCAAGATGAGAAAATTGAAATCAGCTGACATCTTCAGGGCTACGATTAAAGGGTTGCCTCAAGTTACCAAAAGGAAAGTAGGGGTGCCTCTAACTAATAATCAGAGGTTGATACTTGCAGTTGTATGGAATACTTTCGCAACTGGTATATTCAATATTCCCCGTAGAATATCCCAGCTGCACCGGATTATTGTTCCGGTTTCTAACAGTTACATGTTGACCTAAGAGAAAAATAGCAGAGATGCCTTAAAATGGATCCATAGCTTTGTTTCATTTCCAACTTAGTCTATGTTTATATTTCTGTTTCATGTGATTTTTTGCTTGAGGGTCCTTATTTGAGCTGCTTCGTTGTCTTTCCCCTAATCGTGTAGAAACAAGTTTGATGCTTCTGAGTGCCAGAAGGTACTTCGTTGCTTCCTGCCGTCCGTGAGGCCTAAACTTCGTCCACTATAATGTCTAGATTATTGATGTGTTTCAAAGTGTAACTATGGCTAGTAGGACTGCAAAGCCTCTCCACTGCCAAACTCATGGTCGAACTCACAGAGCAATCTGAAGTCAAAACTTTGCGACTAAACCTGCATTCGAATGAGTCTAAACCCACTGTAGGTTAGACGTTAGATTCCATATCAGCTTGGAGACTAACAACATTCCATGGAGTCTATTCATCAGATTGGACCTGTTTAAACCTCGTTACGTTCAGAACAAGAGTTTGATCAAGTTTGACCAGGATACACTTGAAATCGGCTTTGATAACAATTAAACTCCTGTGGCGAGATCTTTGGGCAGAAGTTGCCGCCGTACAGTTGAACTGGATTAAACACGTGCAAGTCGAGTTTGGTTTTCTTCGGCACATGAGATGATATTCAGTACCACACACGCTATACACATTAGGCAACGCACGCTTTACAGCTTCCAGGTGTATTTTGTCTGGTATATTAAAGATGACTACATTTCAAACCCCATTTATCATCCTCAAATTTTTATAGTGAGAGGTGAAATGTTCGATGTTACTGTTTGCATGATTTACATCAGGTTTATCAGGCTTATTCACCAGTGGGATGTTCACTACATTTCTGATGCAATATTTTTTCATTTTAAGCTTCCGTCCAACGCACCGACCCTTATGCCTAAGAAAAATAGGAAATTGGGCACGTAGTGTCACCTATTCAACGAATAATGGCGATTCAAATAATTCACCACGGAAAACATGGAGCTGAACACCAGTTGCTTTCTATGCGGCGAAGTTAGTGCCGTTTTGAAAGGGTACATCAATCAGTATATTCAAGGTTCTCGGGGAAGTAATGGTCGGAGTAATAACACTTTATAAGATGTGGTTTTGAAACCCGAAGTATTATCTTCGTGAGAAATTTCTTTGAAAATAATGCTGTCGCACATATTAGTTACAAGGTTGTTCACTATATAAAAGAAGGGGTAAAACCACTGGAAAATGGCAACGTAATAAAAGAGTGCATAATCTAAGCGGTAAATGAGTTGTGTCCTGAGAAACAATTTATTTTTTATCTATTAGCCTTTCGGCCAATTTACTTGCGCGGGGGACGAAAGAACTTATCCAGAACATAGATATGCAGATACACCAGAAAGCTGAACACATTTTCCGATATTCTCTGTCGTTGGAATAATCTACAGAACACTCGAGCACTTCACAACTCGCGTTTACCTACTGCGCCCTTTCGGAGTTTCAGATAACAAAAGAGTTTGGCATAAGTCTACAGCACTCATGAGGTGACAACTAGGAAGGATAATTTGTGGAACTGCACAAAGTTTGCAAGACTATAACCTACCGTGGAATCGGCTTCGAATCGGCTTCAATTCACAGAGATAGAAAAATGACTGGAGTGTGGAAGGGTATGCTAGGGCAGCTGAGGGCTCGGTTGGAAGATTTGCACATCCCAGATATTGTGATCATTCACTGGAGCATATTTGGACAAGAAATCTGTTAGAAAACTTGGTGATTTCTTGTGTAATGATACCGATCGTTTCAATTGTTAACTTCTTCCGGGGACATAATCTCAATCCATGATAGTTGCAGTCTTTCGGGAGGATGTTGCCACTAACTTCTGTGAATTTCTGTATCACACACCAGTGAGCTGGCTCAGTTACGGTAAACGTGTGTTCGTTTCCACAAACTCCGGAACCGAATAGTTGCTTTTCTCACTGAAGCAAACAGAGCAGACACTCAGCTGTCAGATCCTACCTGGCTACTAAAGTTGGCGTTTATGGCTGACGGCATATCCCATTTGAATTAAATGAGTTTGAAGATGAAAGAGAGTGTTAACCACATCTGCGATTTCTACAGAAGCGTCAATGGAGTTTAGAGAAAGCCGTCATTGTGCCAACTGTTCAAAGAGCTTAACGTAATAGAAGATGTCTAGCACGATTTGCCCGAGAACAATTAATCATAACTTGAAATGATAGTTATAAGAGAAATTTACAGACGTCGGCAGAAATGAAATTACAAGTATTCTGTTCCAAAAGCGGTTTGTTTGCAATCTTCGTGAGTATCTAGTTTAAATAAAGTTACGGCTACTTGATTTGCAGAAAATGACTCGTCGAAACAGAATCACAGTAGGAGAATACTTACTAACATTCAACGCTTCCTATCCGGTGTGGTATTTTCGGAACTGTAGTAAATTGACGCTGATATAGCATCATCGTTTAGAACAATTTATATGGGTAGGCAAGCATTTTCGAATGCCCTGCTTCAGTTTCGCTAATCTCATGGATCCTTTTATTTTCTGCTTAGTGCCATCCAGATGTGTGCGCAAAAGTCTGATGTAACTATATTCTGGCGTTGGTAATTCTTTAGTTTAAAATGGTCGCTTGTTCTTGTTTTCTTGCACACTGCGCGCTGATTACCTATATCTAGCATGAAATGCTGGATTTAGTCTGTTCAGAATTTTGCTCAGAGTTTCCGTTTTGACCTGCGAGCTCTGCACAAATATCTTATCCGGCCCGCGGTTGCTATTTTGTTAATTGTCCGGTTCGCCGTGACAAAGCTTTTGTGGCCCCTGATCTAGAGTATCCATTTGCTGAGAAATAACGTCTTAGTAGTCTCTGCTTCATCAGGCAAACAATCGATGAAGCAAATAAGCGGGATACGGGTAAACAAAATTTGCACCGTCGCACATTTCGTGAACTGGCATCAGATTTACCCCGGTTGCCCATTTCGGATTTTATCCTGTCATCCTAATTCACGCTTTAGCGATCCATCGAGACTGTGGCCAGAAGTCGTCTACACATTGCTCTGTGTGTGAAAAAATAAGTTGTTAACCTTATGCTTCCATGATCCTAAAACTATGGCTACGTGTCACCTCCCCACATTTAAATGATTATTTAATACCCACTGAGTGCTGTATTAATCCTTATTTCTTACTGCATTGCTGACAATAAGACAATGCATGCATGTGCGCATGTGCCAGTGTCGGTACTATATTTGTGTTATTCAAGCTACTGAATAGAACCAAGCTTCGTCTCATTCACTGAATAATTAAATGTCTACCTTAACACTGACTACTTTATTCTAGTAGGATGCTTCATCTATTGAGCAAATCCAGTTTAGCAGAATATTCATTTAGTGCTAACGTGGGTCCAGTGGGTAGCAGATGTGACTTAAGATAAATTGGATGTTGCCTATGACAGCAATTATGACACTAGTCAACAGGAGAGCATGGAAACGGAGTTCAAAGGTGTGATACTTGAAAATGCTCCGTAGATTATGCACCTACTGCGGTGTTCGTAGCTTCAAACTTTGAAACTTGCTGTACCTGTTGACATGGAAACGTGTCTGTGCGACATACTTTGTGAGACATGCCTCAATATCTAAGGAACTGATTTAAAAAGGTTTCAAAAGAGATACCCGCATGCATCACAATGACTTGCAGGCACGCGATGAATGATAATTCCTACAAGAAAGCGCCTCACAGGAAAGCTTTGCTAACTTTTTATGTAGTTCTATGCGCGCAGAGCGCGCGAGAACCGGAACGCCGCGCCGCGGCGCGGCCGAACGCGGCGAACGACGCGACGACGCCGCGGCGACGCGCCGCTAACGGCGCGCGGACCGCGCGCGCGAACGAACGCCGGGCGCGGAACGCGAACGCCCGCGGACCGAAACGGCGCGCGCTGCGCGCGCGCCCGCGCTGCGCGACCCGCGCCGCGCGCCGCGAACGCGACGCGGTAGCCGACGCCCGCGACGAACGGACGACGGACGGCGCGCGGCGAACGGGGGGCGCTGACCGACGGCCTCCCGCGAAAACGCCCGCGCCCGGGCCGGACGCCCGCCGCGAACCGCCCCCGCCGGCACGTCGAACGCCGCGCGCACGCGCCGCCGGGACGCGGCGCGGAACGACGCGGAAAACGCGCGCGCGAACGGCGACCGGCCGCCGGCCGCGCCGACGCGGCGGCGGCGAGACGCGCGACGCGCCGACGCGGCGCGGCGAGCCGAAAAAACGCCGCCGCGCGAACGCGCGCGGACGGGCTGTAAACGACGACGCGAGCGCGAACCGCCGCGCGGCGCGCGGGACCGGCGGGCCGGCGACCGAACGCGCTCGCGCGACGACCGACCGACGCCGAAACCGCCCGACGACGCCAGCGCGACGCGACCGCCGCGCCGGCGACGACGCCGCGCCGAAACCTGAACAGGGACGCGGCGCGACCGCGCACGCGAGGGCCGCGCCGCAGCGGCGCGCTGAGGCGACGAACGCGCGGACGCGGACGGCGACCGCGCGCCGCGCGAACGAACCGAATGCGCGCGCGGCCGACCGACGACGAGCGCGCGCGACAACGCGCAGGCAGAACTTGTGTGTGACCGTTCTGAAAGAGAAAATGATTAGGGTTCAATTCACTTAGTTTAAGATTACTCATAGAGTCTTTAATTCAACTAACGAAGGTGAACCTCATGGGAAAGCACCTGTAACCATCTAATGAATAGCAAGGAAATTGGTTAACATCTACCCGTGAGTATGGTCGGATCACGGAGGATGGAGTCGTAAATCTGTCCATGGCACTTCTCACTTTACTGAACAATCTTATCGGGGTACGGCTTTACGATGCACGAAATTCTCAGACACCTTAGCCATCGGTCTGATGAGAGAAGTGAAGCGTGCATAAAGTGGGAGGCTTGAACTAGGAGCAAATTTTATAGTAGTGTAATATAATACCAAATTTTTCGGATGAACTTGAATAACGGGTGAGTGATAAGTCGGGAAGGGAACGCTTTCAGCCTGTATGTTGCTTGACCTGAATTAGAGTATTAATACGGCAAGGCGTAAACCAGCTTTACGATCCAATGTTTAACTTTTCCTGTCATCTACATTGTGCTATTTAAGTTTATCGACTACACATAAACTTTGCTCACCCTTATGTTTGGATGCGAATCTCAGCAACCGCTCTTTATAAATTTCTATGCTCATCGCAGCGGTAGTCCCCTGTGTTACATATTTTCGTTCACGACTTTATGATAACTAAACTGTGGTGCTACTTCCATGCTCTCAACGCAACACTGGCTTTCTTGTCTGTCAGTCCATTTAATCCTTTCGTTTTCGGTGTAAGTGTCAATAAATAAGGTATTCTTGAAGGGGAAATGTTGAAATCCGTCATCAGGAACCACACTATGTACTGCCGTTACATCTAGGATATCTTTCTACTACTCCATTCCATGCGAACCATCGAGGATCTTACCAATGGATGTAACCAGGCGCACGAAGTGCTGAAGTTCACATGCGAAGTAGTGGTATCCGGTACTTTCCCTTCCTCTACGTGGCAATGAAGCGACTCGAGAGGGGCGCGTTGCAACTTCTGGTTTATGGGAAACACACGTGAAATGGACAGTGTCTGAATGCATCAAGTCTGTGTCATAGCCTCTGCTCTGTTTAATATTTATTTTCATGCCATGATGTCTTGTGCCTTTGATGCTGCTTGTGCTTACGGTGTTCGTTTGGAGCACCGTATTGATTGTGGGTTGCTAAACATCCGTGGTTTCGGTGCGAGAACTCAAGTCTGGGAGACAACCATCCGCATGTTGCTGTTTGCTGACGACACTGTGTTGTTTGCACACGGCGCGAATGAGTTGCAGCACATGACTAGTGCTCTGGCTTCGACAGCGGCCAAATTCGGGCTCACCATCAACACAAGCAAAACTGTCTGTCTCTTTCAAGCCTTCACCGGAGGTGCAATCTTCAATATTGCCGCGAATCAGCATTGGTGCTGAAGTAGTGGAAACCACCTCCCGCTTCAGCTACCTTGGGAGTGTTATGTCGACTGATCGGCAGCTACACGTTGAGTTGCGTATTCGCGTGTCGAAGGCAGCAGCAGCATTCGGGAAGCTTGAGTACCGAGGGTGGAACAACCATCAGCTTACCATTGGCACGAAGCTGCTGGTGTACAAATCCATGTTGCTGTCCGTTCTTCTATACGGCAGTGAAACGTGGACGATGTACCGTCGGGATGTGCGATATCTCGAGCGGTTCCATCAACAAATTTTGCGACGAATTTTGCATATCGGATGAGGCGCCAGAGTTGCAGACACGGAAGTGTTGCTTCGAGATGTAATTTATGCAGTGGACTGCGTACGTTTGCTGAGACACCTGAGATTGCTCGGTCATGTGAGCCGTATGGATTCGACTGGGATACCGAAACAACTCTTATGTGGTCAGCTGAGTATTGGGAAGCGGCACGTGGGGAAACCAAAGTTACGTTACGGGGACATGATTAAAATGAGCCTCACACGTTGTAATCTTGATGGCAGGTCATGGGAATGGAAAGCGGTTGATCGGCGCGTATGGCGCGATCTCATCACGAATGCATTTGCTGAAGTGCGGGAGAAAGACCTCATGCATGCAAAGAAGAAGCGGCAAACGCGGAAGCGGCAAGCACCGATGGATTGTACTCCATCGACATCGAGCTTATGGTGCTGTAGAACATGCAGTCGCGAGTGCCTGGGTCAGACAGGCTTAGTGAGCCATGAGCGAGGCCATTCGGAACTACTACCGAAGCCACCACGTGTTCTGCAGAGAATGTAGGCAGAACTGGCGCAGCGTTTGTATGTACGCTGCACTCGATTTACTAACTGCGTGCTTACATGCTAAGTCTAATTATTTCAGGTGTTGGGTTTCCAATTTTGTCCTAATGCTTTTCTTTCTCATATAAATGTCTTGTGAGCCATGACCGAGGCCACTCGGGACTACAACAGAAGCGACGACGGGTCCTGCAGAGAAAATTCAGAATCGGCGCAGCGGTTTTATGCAAGTTGCGTTCGATTTACTAACCGGATGCTTGCATGCTAAGTCTATTTATTTCAGGTGGTGATTTGTCAATTTTGCCTAAATGCTTTTCTTTCTCTTATACATGTCTACCTGTACTCTATTCCGTTAAATTGCACACCTCGCTTATGCCAATTGTAGTCGATTTCCGTAGTATTTTTGTGTTCGTGGCATTCCGTAAAGTATAATTTCCTACCTCTTGAACTTATGTAGGATTCGTTTGTAAACAACTTATTTCACATGCTCATTAACTTAAGGTTTATATCACCGCTTCCATATGCATTAGTTGAGTTATTTTCTTTGTCTCTCTCCTAAATGATTGGCTGTTGTTTCATATCCCCGGTGTGGCTGCGCTTAATGTGCATGTTGACAAGGTGCCTACCTGCCTATTACCCGCTACCTCGTCCATACTGGCTCCAGGAGACAGTTGCTCGTTGCTGGGGGGATGGTGTGCACGGTCCCTCTGGCCGCGTTAGGATCGAAGAGTGGTTCCATGCACTCAGTGTGGAGCGGACTACGGTCAAACCACCGTCTTGTGTGCGCTTGATTCCCCAAATACGTCGTGCATGCTTTTGCCTGTGAAGAAGTGTGGGCCGGCTCCGTTGAGGAATCGCGGCTCCCATCCACATGCCTCCCGGTCTTATGCCTTCGGGTTTACACCGGATATGGGGTGTGTGAATGGAGCTGTGGTTGGTGCAGCGAAATTCACCAATGGTCCCTCTGTAGGCGCAGGTGTCCTGCGGCTTGCCACAGTGACAGGCAAATTCGAAACCGGATGCCGCCAGCCATATATATATATCTATACATATATATATATTTACATATATATATATATCGTGTGCGTGTGTGCTTGCCGGATTCGAAGGAACACTAGTGAATCCCTTAGATTGGCCGCCTATTCTCAAACATTCTCATCTTAAAAGCCAGCGGTGGTGATGACGCCGCTATCGTGAAGGGGCTGCGTTCACTCCTGGCTATCAAGCGCTTGCTGCTTACAATATTCCAAGTTCGTTCGTGCATTTGCTTGAACAATTTGGGTGTAGCGATCAACAATTATACCTGGAGTCCAAGTTCTCTTCAACCCATCCTCGCTTTGGAATGTAGTTTGGAAAATAGGTGTTCAAGGTCTAACATTTTCCGTTGCAAGCACCCACAAGGTGGCTCGTCCATGGGATTTGCCTCGGTTTTACTAGGACTGAGGTATGCACATATTGCACAAGTTGTATTTTGTTAAGTTATACTTTAGTTCTCCTCTTGGTGGGACCAGGGCGATTTTACGAATTACTTAAGACGCAGAATGGGTCGGTCGTTTACATAAATAGCTTATCGCCACAGTTGATTATACAGCCACTTCTGCCAACGGTTGGGTAATTGGATGTTATGCAGGCTACTTCTTGTAAATTGGCGGAAACAGTTCGAACACTTTTTCGAAAGACGAAAGTAGGACAGGACGCAGTGCGACTTGATAGATGTGTTCCTTCTGTTATCTTGTCATTGCGGTTATCAGATAATCTGTGATATTACCGCCTTCTAACACATAAAGCAGACGGCATCTGCAGCATACGCTAACGATAAGAAATCACTGTTTTACTGTATCTTTTAGTTGTGCATCATTCCATCTGGTAACCGTATTGATGACATTTGTTTCCCTATTCCTCTATCTATCTCTATCTATTGATGATGCCCACATTTTTGACTCAATTTATAGCTGCCACTTTTAGCTTAACACTTCAACGTTAACTCACCAACGACAGTTGTATTGGTTGCTTAGATAATTATACGTGAGATTTTCCAACACTAGTGGAATATGGCTGTTTTTCTTATATTCAATCCATACTCGCGTATAATCGTCGTGTTATTACTCATGAGGGTTGTTGTTTCTCCACCCATTTTGTGGTAGTCCATGCACAATTGTGAACAGATGTCTGTTCGCTACACTGCAGTACTGCAACTCGAACCAGGGACCGTGGGTATGTCAACTGATATCACATGTTTAATGACTAAGTGGAAGCCATTTCGAAACACTTGTAAGCGCCACACTTCAACCTGACAGACTGATGACATTTGTACTCGCGTGACAACATTATCTGTTGGCTGGATGTCTAAATGGGACTGGACTAAATTAGAAGTCCCGCTAAAAGCTGTTCGTATCTCGATACATTCCCACTTGACAGATGGATGTTATTACATTTCTTCTCGTGTGACACCGTGACTTATTGCGGGTGGCAATATGAGGTCCATGTATCCCATGTAACGTCCATTTTGTCAACAGCCATCACCCTTCGCCTGGACCCACATTATTGCCCTAATTCCCCTTGAATTCACTCTGTTTGAACGTTCCACGTATACCGCCCTGCATGACCCTTAGTCGTTTGTTTTCCATGCCCACCTTACATTGGTGACACCACCTGTCTCGCTACTTTCTTTGATGCATGCTCCACTTTATCGATCACTGCTTCGCACTTGTTCCATTTGCGTGTTACTATTGAGGTCAGGGTAGACCGGAGATTTTGTGGGGTGGACACACCACCCATCCGGCTGACATGTGCCCCTAACCTCAGGTCTTCATAATGTGTCCCCCATTGAACCTGCTTGATGTGATTGGACTAGTGGCTGTTGGTTTCTTGATTGGCTCACTGGTGCATGTCTCGCATGTCATGTAACCGCGCTGGGTCATTTTGCTGACTGGACGACCGTATTGATGTCCTGTTCTTGTAACGGCCAACTGATTGTACTTGTCTTTGTTTGAGGACATTGTTGGTATGTTGTCACTTTGATCTTTTACTCTTTGTATAATAGAACACCGTAGTTCAGCATCGACTGTGGCTTTTTTGTTTCTCCGGTGCCTACACACCAACTCCGATCCTTGTCGCTCATTGATCCCCTGTCGGAGGCCGCGAATCGGTGCCCTACGCGTTGTCCAACTATCCTAAGCGATTTTTGAAGCTTACAGTGTTCAACAATCCTTTGTTTGAAGACGTCACTCTTTTGGACTTGCAATGGAAACACGAAAGAAGACGTCTATGATTCTTGAACAGAACACGATTGGATCCCGGCAAGTTGAATATTTGCCTGTTGTTGACGATAATGTTTCTTGTTCTGGATCGCATAATACCTGTAAGGGTAGTCAGGCTCGAAGTTCGGTTAGTGCACGTTCTGCTGTTAGGCTGGCGGAGCTTAAGAGAAAGCAAGCCGAAACTGAGCTGGAGATTGCTAAGTTACGGTTAGAAATAGAAGTGGGCGCGAACAGCCATGAACATCTCGCCACCTCAAGTCATGTGCCTGAAATCAGAAAGGAACGTATGAGTCAGTTTTTGAAGGATTGTCAAGAAGCAGTGCCACCTCCAGTTACCCCTATGCCGTATTACCACCCGTTTTTGGGAGCTTGTCAACCGCCACTAGATCTGCCGAGAGTCGAGTTAGAATTTTTTGATGGTAATCCGATGACTTATTGGAGGTTCATCAAACAGTTTGAATACTTCGTTGAGGGTCGCGTAAGTGATAGCGGCCAGCGGTTGCTGTACCTTGTGTATTATTGCAGAGGGCGTGCTAAGGAGGCAATTTGTGAATGCACGATACTTCCACCAGAGTTGGCTTATAACAGGGCTCGATGCATTCTTCAAAATCTTTTTGGTCAAAATCATGTCATTGCTCGCTCCTTGATCGATGGTTTGCTTACTGGTCTAAGGCCCCTTAGGGACGACTGTGAGGCTTTGTCGCAATTGTCACTGAAGATGGAAAACTGCCATCTAGCTCTATCTCAGATGAATTTCACGGCCGATTTGAACTCTATAGCCACCATTGAACGAGTGGTTCGTAGTTTGCCCAATGCTTTGCAATGGAGATGGGCCAGGGTGGCAGATGCTATAATTCAACGCGGAGGAGAAGTTGAATTTCGAGATTTGGGAGACTTTGTTGCTGCTGAGGCGAGAGTAGCTCGTAGTAGATTCGGCCAAATAGCGACCGCGAGTACACCACGAAGCCAGACTACCGCACAGCCGTCAAGATTAGCTGATCAGGGAAAAACTAGGAACTTCTCCCTTTACACAGTATCAGAGAAGGCCAATGGATCGGCTTGTCTAGTTTGTTGCGGCGAACACAGTGTAGCATCGTGTGAGAAATTCTTAGCTATGGTTGTCCCGGCTCGTTGGGAAATTGTCAGAACAACCGGTGGATGCTACAACTGTCTAGGGTTGGGTCACCGAGCTTCAAGCTGTCGCAGCAATAAAGGATGCAGCCTGTCTACGTGTAAGGGGTGGCATCACTCGTTGTTACATCGCGACAGAGCCCCTGTTACTCCCCAGGATTACTCAAATACTTGTAATGCGGCCGCTACCTCTCCCAACAGGGTCTCTCTGGGCGTGGTACCAGTGCGTTTAGATGGCCCGTTAAGGTCAATTAACACTTATGCTTTGTTAGACACTGGTTCGGATGTGACGCTAGTGCAGGAGGACCTTTTGCAGGAGGCGGGCGTAAACGTTGACCCTACATCTTTGACGATGCAGACAATAAGTGGTATTACATCCTTGCAAGCAGGTGTGGCCAATTTCCGCTTGTCGGCGTTGAGAAGTGCAGACTACGTCACAGTTGAACGTGCCTACTGCTTGAAGCGCTTGCCATTACGATCAGTGGGAAACGCTTGTGGTCAGCTGGCAAAGCACTGGCCACACTTATCGGACATCCACTTTGATGATCTGACGGATAACAGAGTCCGAGTATTGATAGGTGCAGATGTACCCGAAGCACATTGGCAAATTGAACGCCGTACTTGTGGTAGGAAACACCCGTTTGCCGCGAAAACCCTACTCGGCTGGATATTGTTGGGGCCTGTGAACATGAGTGGTCAGCATTGCGCTTCCGTAAACTGTGTGCAAGTGGATGATCATTCGCTAGAAGCACAACTTAAAATGTTGTATGATGGTGGGTTCGAAGGTGTCGGCTCCAGCGCCCGCTCCCTCTCCATAGAGGATAAGACAGCACTGTCCATCGCTGAAAATTCTATACGACTAGTGAAGGGACACTTCGAAATAGCTCTACCTTGGAGAAATCGACAAGCAGTTGTTCCAAATAATTATGGGTCAGCTCTTCACAGATTGCACTGTTTGAGTCGACGACTACTAAACAATCCAACATTGCGCGAAAGGTACACGGCGGCATTGGAAATAAGCAGGACTAAAGGATACGCAGTTTTGGTGCCACCTGCGCACTTACAACCAGGCTATGCACCAAAATGGTATTTACCGCACCACGCAGTGATTAATCCAAAGAAGCCGGACAAACTTAGAGTGGTGTTTGATTGCGCCGCAAGGCACAAAGGGCTTTCCCTAAACGATCAACTATTTCAAGGACCAGACACTACCGCGGATCTAATTGGAGTCCTACTGCGTTTTAGGGTTGAGATGGTAGCGGTTTCTGCAGACATTGAAGATATGTTTATGCAGGTGAAGGTGCCCATGAGTGACAGAGGTGCGCTACGCTTCCTTTGGTGGAAGGATGACGAGATTGGCTCGGAAGTGATCGAGTATCAAATGACGGCACATCCATTTGGAGCCACTTCATCACCGTTTTGTGCCAACTTTGCCTTGCGTCGAACAGCTAGCGAATGGGGATGTCATTATAATGAGAGTGTAGCCGCAGCATACACCATAACTTCTACGTCGACGATCTTCTGATCTCACCTACATTGAGTACTGACTCTTTTATCATGGCCCTGAAACGATTTGTTGCCCGCAGAGGGACCCCGACCGAAATATTCAGTGATAATGGGGGCAATTTTGTGGGTGCTGCTACTGAGTTGCGTACTGCCATGAAGAGCTGGTCACAAGCAAAGATTAATGATAAGCTACTGAGTATAGGAGTGCAGTGGCACTACAACCCACCGATGGCCAGTCACAGAGGTGGTATTTGGGAACGCATCATTAGGTCTGTTAGGCGGATCCTGTTATCTGTCGCAGGGCAGCAGACGTTGGATGACGAGACACTGAACACTCTCCTTATTGAAGCGGAGCGCATCGTCAACAGTAGACCACTTGTACCGCTAACTTCGGACCCCAACGACCGCGAGGCACTTACACCTAACGATTTGCTGATATTGCGATCCAACGCAACGCATATATTAACGGCCCTGCCTGAAGAATATAACCGCTGTTGGCGACAGGTGAATTACCTAACTGCGTTGTTCTGGAAAAGATGGGTCAGAGAGTATTTGCCGTTGTTGCAATCGAGACAAAAGTGGTTACACAGCAGTCGAAATTTTAGACCAGGTGACGTGGTTTTGGTCTCTTCTGAAGCGAGCTCGCGTGGAACATGGCCATTGGGAGTTATTGAGAGCTGCACTGATTCTGGAGATGGGCTCGTCAGGACGGCTGTTGTCAGAACAAAGGAAGGGTTGTACAAAAGAGACGTGCGTAAGCTCTGTTTGTTAGAAGGAAGTGACACGGGTGGGAATGTAGTTCCGGCTGTTGGCTCTCCGCAGGTGGGAGGCGGGTCTTCGGATCTGCTGCTCCAGGGAGGACCACTGTGAGTCCAACAGCCGAAGTGGGAGGGATCAGGCGTACCGTTGTAAGTCCTGTGACCTCCCATAGCGGATGGAGTTGGCGTAGGGCGATCCAGAACAGAACGTGTCGTCCTCAACCACTGGAAAATCCGGGACAGATTTTCGCGGGGGAGTGTAACGTCCATTTTGTCAACAGCCATCACCCTTCGCCTGGACCCACATTATTGCCCTAATTCCCCTTGAATTCACTCTGTTTGAACGTTCCACGTATACCGCCCTGCATGACCCTTAGTCGTTTGTTTTCCATGCCCACCTTACATTGGTGACACCACCTGTCTCGCTACTTTCTTTGATGCATGCTCCACTTTATCGATCACTGCTTCGCACTTGTTCCATTTGCGTGTTACTATTGAGGTCAGGGTAGACCGGAGATTTTGTGGGGTGGACACACCACCCATCCGGCTGACATGTGCCCCTAACCTCAGGTCTTCATAATGTGTCCCCCATTGAACCTGCTTGATGTGATTGGACTAGTGGCTGTTGGTTTCTTGATTGGCTCACTGGTGCATGTCTCGCATGTCATGTAACCGCGCTGGGTCATTTTGCTGACTGGACGACCGTATTGATGTCCTGTTCTTGTAACGGCCAACTGATTGTACTTGTCTTTGTTTGAGGACATTGTTGAGTATGTTGTCACTTTGATCTTTTACTCTTTGTATAATAGACACCGTAGTTCAGCATCGACTGTGGCTTTTTTGTTTCTCCGGTGCCTACACACCAACTCCGATCCTTGTCGCTCATTGATCCCCTGTCGGAGGCCGCGAATCGGTGCCCTACGCGTTGTCCAACTATCCTAAGCGATTTTTGAAGCTTACATCCTATATCAAGTGTTTCTGTACGCACGCCCTCTTGTACTGCTGCCACCATCAGGTAAACGCACTGAGGTCCAGGCAAGCCATCAAGGTTGATTCCGGAACAGCTGCAACACGATGTGACATCCAAATCGAAATGGTTCTGTACAGGTTGCATTCTAGACGCTGATGAATAGGTCGACATATGCTAGAGGTCAGAACGAATAACCAGGGAAAATAAATAGTAACACACGACAGACTGCCTGGTGGTTATATATATCTGTTGATTCCCGCTCACGTCGGACAAGAGACGATTATAACGGGCTCTGGTTTTACCTTATGACACGGATAGCCTGCAGTGGATATAATCACTCCATTACCCTGCTAACTTAAAAAGTTGCTCACTCCAACTACGTCAATTTCTTGTGTCATCCGTATTCTATTTCTCACATATAAGTTGCTTTTGGGTACAGATACATTCTAGAATGATTAACTAGTGACTTGGTGCAATGTGGTATCCTTATTGCACACGCCCAGAATGGTTGAGCCGGACGTAACCTAACTATTAGACTTATTTAACTCGGTTTTGTTTCGTGATGACTTCACAGGTTGCCCATTGCAATGTTATACTCATCATGACCTATACTATTCTATTCTTGCTACCTCCTCAAGTGGAGTCTATTACGGTGACATTCCGAGACAGCGAACTAGTGCATCTTTCTCTTCGTAGTATTATTATTCGGCTGCGATTCACATCACTGTGTAAGCTCCATAGTATTACTCGCCAGACTATGCTATCTACATTCAGCTCCTTGAAATCAATTTGTAGATTACATAACCGTAGCTTGACCAGCTGCTCAATGCTAAGTAGCATGAAGCTTAGAGAGCCGGTGCATGGCAGAATAATGGTTCAGTCCATCCATGAGCACGTTTGTATGTTATAGTTAAGTTATATTTATCATAAAACATCGATGATAATACCGGAACATAAATGTGGGCTTTTTAGGCCGTTGAAAGTTATCGTCTCATAAATCCCATGTCTATTGTCTGTAGGATAAGATAGAGGGCAAAGATAGTTCAGATCGCTATTCACCTCTGGTCGGTAAACTTAATTGGTAGGTCGAGCATGGTTTACTTAAATTTACGATCATAATTGATCTGTCAAATAGATTATCAAAATAATATGAAAAATCAAATAACTCAAGTAAAGAAATTGTCGTGTTTCCTTGAATTTTAGTAAAGTTTTTATCGGGTGCCGCATGCAAAAGTACTATCCAAAATTTATTCTGTTGCAATTGGAAAC